GGTTAGTTGGTCTGTTGTCATTCTGGTCCACACTGAAATATCTCAACAACTATCAGATGGATTGCCATGAAATTTGGTACAGACATTCATGGTGCCCAGGTGATGCTTCGACTTTTCCTCTTGTGCCACTATGAGCTTGATATTTTTGGTTTTAAGTAAAACATTAGGTCGATTGCCATGGAATTTCCCCTCATAGTTTTTTTCCTAAAAGACCTTCTAGTGAGACAGTTAACGGCTGCAGTTGGTAGTTTGGTGAAACCCACCGGTCACAGTGATGTTGACGGCGTTGCTGAACTCTCCTGATCCAGACTCACACCAGTACACTCCAGTGTCTACTGGGTAAGGGTCAGCAAGAAGGCACAGTGACTCGTTTCTTTTGCCCCAAGTTGTGGAACACTCTGCGTTCATGTTTCCGGATGTGTTTCTCTTAACCCGCCATTCAGAGGCGTCCCCACAGCTCAGTCTAATCGACTCATATTGAAAGAACTGGGTTCTGCTGGGAAAGACTCTCAAAGAGGCTACAAGAAAAAGAGAAATTATGACAAATTGAGATTTTAAATGTAAATGTGTTCACAATGCGGCAAACAAAGTCGTGTAAATACTTGCAGAGGTGAACAACCAGTCAAACCAATATGCAGCTTCCTTGTTTCACTACGGATATGATTCAAATAATGAAAGCAGCTCAAAGGTTCCCAGTTCTCTTCTGGGCAAAAGAATGATTTGACAGTTTTTTTGACAATGGTTGCATCCATCGTTTGGGTGCATGAGAAGCTGTGAATTGATTCTGTTGAGTTTATTTTCTATCATTAATGCCAAATGGGTGCTTGCTGCCTAGAGTAACCAATGCAATGTAAGCCCACACATTGACACCATCTGCCTCTTCACAACCTTTGGCAGCTGCCACAATCGTGACAAACATGTAACAAAACTTCACAAATCACACTCACCGTAATGTGAATCGTGGTGAATGTGTCGAAGTAACGTGGAAGGTTTAAAAGAAATTGCTCGCAATTCTCGTTCGTGCCGAGAGCAAAACAAAAACCTCCAGACGTCACAGACAATAACTTCAACAAGACAAATTAAAAATAGTAACATGTACAGACATTATTTAGTAGAACTATTTATTGATTCATAGCAGCAGAATAACTTTTGTAAATTCAATTCTACAGTAAATGTTTGATAAATACAGTAAAATACTAGAACGCTTTAGTACTCACCGACAATAGTGCACAGTGTTAAGATCTCCATGCCTGGTCGTTGATCGACTGACACTGACACTGACAGTGAGGGGGTTCATCACGCCCCTGAGCTGACTCTCTGCCACTTTGTTTGTGCAGGATGTGTGTCTGCATTTTTAAAACCACAAATGTGAAATGTTTTACTTTCTTCAATCTGATGAGTAAACACAAGAAGGTGTAAGTGGTGCACAGGGCCCACATCAACACCATGCAGATGAAAGGGAAATGGACCTTTCCCATTTGTGCTGGCGTTGATTGTGGCTTTGCAGCTTTTGGAGTAAGGTCATTTTAAGACTTTACTCGATCGATTCTGGATGTAAAGATACCTCAATATCAGTTAGTTTGTCTCTTAGACACAAATGTAGTAAAAATATTAAGTCAACACTCATGCATCATATCATTGCTTAGCTTTTTTCTGTCAGTTAAACGTATTATTATGAAGAATTGGAAAGTACCTAAACCACGTTGCTTCTATTTGGCGCCC